GAGACTGAGAGTAATTGAAACCGTGAAAAGTGAAACTTCGGATAAAGGGGGACAACTGTAAATCTGCCACCCGGTGCCAGGGAGATGAGAGAGGGATGTCTGCTTTCTGAGTCAGCCGGTGAGCTTGAAGACCAAGTGAACTTCTGAAGCAGAGTCCACGGCAGGGAGACTGCAGCCAGCCTTCTGAGTCACCCTGGCCTGGCTGCAGAGCTGGGCCTGGAATGTCTGCAATGGCCCTGTGGGCCCTGGGGGTGGTGAGTCACCGCCATGAACTGGGAGAGCCAACTAGCCCTAAAGGCTCTTCTGCTCTTCCTTCCAGTTCTCAACCTGGGGCCTCGACTCAGAAGCCACAAGGGTCTGGCAAGAGGGAGCCTGGGTTCTCTTGCAACAGCGCTGCCCTCACCTGCTTCCCACACTGATCCCTGACTTCCATGGCTCCTTAGATACCGCCCAAACCAAACACTCCACATGTCTGGGCCATCAGTCTTCGCATCTGGGCTTCCGGCTGCTTGGAGGTGCCCTCCTGCCTCCCCATCCCTGTGTCCTCCCTGACTCCTCTCATCCTGGAAATTCTCCACCGTGGACTGAGGCTCTGCCACCTCCTGAGCCTCCCCTCCCTGCTCCACCCCTGCACTGCGCTGGATTCTGTGGACCAGGGCACTTCTCACCATGGCGTGGATGCTCTGGTCGAGGTGCCAGTTGGATTTATTGAACTATTTTGATCAAGTCCAGCAGGCTCTGATACTCAGAAACTTCCCAAGGCCGTCTTTTCCATTCTCCCCACCCCACCTCCGACGTCCCAACATGCCCTGAGGGGGGCCTGTGGGCTTCCCTGGGAGTTTGGCATCTTCTCTGATCTCCTTCCCAGGTCCTCCCCACATCCCTCCCTCCCCACCCTGGGGCCCAGGCCACATTCTCCCTAGTCTGTCCACTGCACAGCATGGGAGCCAAAGATCAAAGGGAAACAGGGAGGGGGGTGGTAGAGCGGTCCCCCTGAAGAGGCGGTGGGGTGGGGATTTAAAATACAACTGAGCAGCCCACCCCAAAACAAATCCCGAGAGCATCAGGCAGCAGGTCAGGCTGCCAGGACCCATCACAGAAGCTTCCTCGACTCTGGTTTGGCAGCAGAATTAGGGGTCTCAGGGAATGACGTCCGTTCTTCTTGCAAACCCTGTGCCTCCAGGCAGGGGTGCCCAGGTTTTGACACAAATCCTTCTGAGCCTATTAACTGTGTTACTCACCAGGAAACAAGATCGAAAGCAGGCCTCACGTCTTTGGAGGCCAAATCTGAATTGATGTCTAATGTCTGCCCATTGATAGCTGGGAGATGGAATTTGGAAAGCTTGCCCAGAAAGAAGTTTTTCTAGATGGTGAAAAATGGGTGGTAGGCGGGGAGGTTTCTAGGAAGCAGAGGTGAGTTGCTCCCCTGGTCTGGTTACCTCTCATCCCACACACACACTTAATTTCATGCTGGAGCTGCTCCCAGACTGGGGAGTTCACCTGGAAAGGAAAGTGGCCTTTATTAGCCCCTGGAGCTAATAGGCACAGCAGGAGCTTGGTTGGTTGTAGTTCAAAGTACCCCTGGCAAGTGGAGAAGGGAGAGCCTGGGAAGGAGGCCTTGGGGGTCTGTCTGCCAGAAATGTGGTCTGCGCCTGCCCCTTCCTGACTGAGAGCCCCGGGGACGGAGCCATGTGCTGTGTACCCAGAGGAAGGTGAAGGAGCCCCTCTGGGAGCCTCCAGTCTGAGGGTGCAGACGTGGCCGTCAGCCTCAGGGAGCCTCTGTGTGATGGAGAAGATGCAGCCCCAGTCTTACACCCTGATCTCAGAGAGCCCCCAGCCTGTTCAGGGAGACAAAGCCCTTGCCGTGGAGAGTCCTCCCCTCTGACGGGGAGGCACAGCATGACCTCAGGAGTCCGCAGCCTGATGGCAGAGACAGGACCAGACACTTCTCTCATATAGAGCGTCAGGCACTTGAGGTGAGAGCCTTGAGCCTCATAAATCTTTCCAGATAGAGCTGTAGCTGCCCCACCTTCTCCCCAGTGCCCAGGGTGCAAACGCGCCTCTTTCCCTGCTCTGCCTGCCCCTAAGCAGGGAGACAGCTTGAGTGGAAGTTCTCAGTTGCCCAAGCTGCCACCAAGAAGCCCTCAGTCTTCATGTGCTCTCAGCCCTCTGCCCTCTCTCTCTCACCCCTTTCCTCAGCCACCCAGGACACACCCTGCATATCACTATGGGGACATTGCCGCATTGCCAAAGCCCCAGGTCACTATCCAGAGCTGGGGTTCAAACTGCTCTGGCCCCACTCTCTCTGACCCAGGAGGAGCCCATTGCCTACAAGAGTGCCCCTCTCCCAGCTAGTGCCACCCTGCCCAACTCTGCTCTCCCCAAGGGCATCTTCTCTAACTGAGGCCACCTATAAAGGAAGTGGGGGATGGGAGAGCACTGGGCCCTGTGCCCAGAAGAGAGAAGGAGGAAGAAGAGAGGGGGCACTAAGGTACCCTACCCAGGACAGCCCCCAGGCAGCAGCTGGAGATACCCAAATGTTAATCACCAATTAGCACAGTTCAGGTGGAAAGGACAACTTTATTACGTGTCAAATGGACTTAATGTGGCGGGAGCTGTGGGCTTAATTTCTTGAGATAAGATGCTTTTAGGCTAATCAGCAGGTCAGTGATGCCTGGATATAAAGGAGCAGCAGCAGACTTTCTTGAGACGGACTCTGAAGGGCCAGAAGGTAGGAGGAAGAGACTCCCCTGCCCTGTCCTTCTTCTGGAAGAGCCAGAAAGGGAGCCTGGTAAGAGGAAAGCCAGGACAGGGGATGGACGAGATGCTGGAGAGGAGGCGGATCTGGGCCCCGCTGCGATGCTCAGCACCCATGCATCTCACGTGCTCTTCTTCTATGTAGGAAACAAGAGGGTGGCTCTGACGGTTCCTCCACCATGCAGATGACAAAGGCAGGAAGATGGGGTCTTGCAGGCCGCACATCTCTAGATCTGGTTTTGGTTTCCAGGGCTTGGGAGGAAGCTTCCTCCCTGCTCTTCATCTCTACCAAAGACCCCCTGGATGAAACGGGGCAAGCCCTCGGTGGAAGGGTCAGACTTCAGGAAGAACCTCCCTGAGTCGAGATAGTGAAGCCTGAGAAGGAGAGAGTGGGATGGTCCCACGTGCCGTTTTCACTGAGGGCAAGAGGGCTGTGATGCATTAAGTGACAGCCCACTTGAGAGCAGGAGGCTGGCTGGTATGAAATTTGGAGGGCTCTGAGGGGAGAATCTTGCCAAACCACATGCCTGTGATGTCTCGCCACTGGAGCTGGGAAGGGAGGGGGGGGGGGGTCTGTCCAGGCACACAGGTGTTCGCTGCTTTCTCCTGCCTGGATCCCTCCCCCACTGCCCTCCTCCCACCCGACTCAGACTCCACTGCAAAACAAAACAAAAGCAGGTTCACCTCTTGGCCAGGCTCCGTGTCCCTTCTAGACGCTAACTCTAAAGCCTCCCACCCTCCCCAAGGTGTTGCTCCAGCCTCTTAGAAAAGCTCCAGCCCCCAGGGCTCAGTGGCCCCCAGCTTTCAGAACCCTCACAGGCTCTGAGGCGCCAGCAATGCGCCGCCACGCTGGCTGCTCCCTCAGCATGGTGCTTCCACCTCAGCCTGGTCCTTTTTTTTCTTATCTCAGGAGTTACCGCTAGAAGATGGTGGCCATGAAGACCCTCTCTCTGCTGCTGGTGTCCCTGTTCCTGGCAGTGGTGCTAGGAGAGAAGGAAGAGGGTCACGCCAGGTAGGGGTGAGGGGGGTCGGTCACCCGCAGGGAAGGGGACTGGGGAGGTGACTGGGTTCTGGTTTTCAAGAAGGAAGTGAGAAAGGGAGGAACCCCAAGCCAAAAGGAAAGAAGCTCAATGGAAAACCTGCCAGCAGTCTGAGTACAGAGTGAGGACAGAACCAGAGAGTATTTATTACGAGCTACTCTTGCAGCCAGAGAGACTGTGGTTAGATCTCGAGAAGGACTTCTCAGTGGTTAAGTGTCTGGAATAGATGACAGCATCTCCCTCCCTAAAGAAAGCCTTAACCACTCATTTATGCATACATCTGATCAATTTTTTTTTTTTTAAAGGAAGACTGGCCCTGAGCTAACATCCATTCCCATCTTCCTCTACTTTATATGTGAGACGCCTGCCACAGCATGGCTTGCCAAGCTGTGCCATGTCCGCACCTGGCATCCAAACCAGCAAACCCGGGGCCGCCAAAGCAGAACGTGGGCACTCTACCGCTGTGCCATCGGGCCGGCCCCCACCTTTGATCGAATTTTATGGAGGGCCTCCTGTGTGACAGGCACAGGCGATATTTGCAAAGAGTGGACCACAAAGACTTCCTGCCCTCACGAGCGTCTAAGCCCAAGGGGAGAACAGAGAAAGAATGATGGACGCGAGTTGCAAACCATCACGAGTACTGTGAGGAAAAGCAGGGAGTATTATGAGTGAATACAGCAGGGGGCTCTGTCTGTCTTTTGAGGGACCAAAAGAGACTTGTGTGAGTAAAGAGTTGGGCTTTCTCAGATGCCAGGATAAGCCATATGCCCGTGTAAATTCAGCTATGTAAATATGGCCGTCAGAGCCATGTGCAAGGAGAGACAACATCATGTAGAAGTTGAGAGTATACACCTGGGCCCAGACTGCCTGGGGGTAAATTCTGAATCTGCCACCTACACCATGTGCTAAGTTAATCTCTCTGCACCTTGGTTTCCTCATTCACAAAAAGGGGATATAGGGGCCGGTCCGGTGGCGCAGCAGTTAAGTGCGCGCGCTCCGATTCTCAGCGGCCCGGGGTTCGCCGGTTCGGATCCCGGCTGCAGACATGGCACTGCTTGGCACGCCATGCTGTGGTAGGCGTCCCACATATAAAGTAGAGGAAGATGGGCACGGATGTTAGCTCAGGGACAGGCTTCCTCAGCAAAAAGAGGTGGACTGGCAGTAGTTAGCTCAGGGCTAATCTTTCTGGAAAAAAAAAAAAAAAAGGGGGAGGGGACATAAATAGTGTCTACCTCCTAGAGGTATTCTGAGGATTAAACTGGGTCATGTACTAAAGGGCTTAGAGAGGGCCTGAGACATTGAAGTGCTGACTGGGAAGCAAAGAACTGAGTCAGGTATGGCCAGGGCAAGAGGAGTAAAGGAGGGAACCAAGATTCAGTCCTTTGGGATGACGGGGAGCCCTGATCCCGCTCTGTCCAGAAGCCAGAGCCACATACATGGAGGATGCAGGAAGTAGGCCCTTGAGTTAAAGATAAAGTCCTAAAGTCCTAGGGTCTTGATGCATAGACAAGAGAGTGTCCCTATAAAAACTGACTCCCAACAAATGGGCTGGTTTGTTTTCAAATGTCAGCCTCCTGTCAGGGACAATCATTTACCCTGGCATTGTGATTCCTTGCACCCCCTCCCCCTTCCATGGAGTCCTGGTTTCTATCTCTCCCTGCCTCTCAGATTCCAGACTAAGGTCAGTGACTCCCAACCTCGAGCCCCCAGGTATGCTGAGGGGACTTTCATCAGTGACTACAGTATCGCCATGGACAAGATCCGCCAACAAGACTTTGTGAACTGGCTGCTGGCACAGAAGGGGAAGAAGAATGAGTGAGCCATTGTACACCTCCCTCCTGTTCCCCGTTCTCCGGCTCTACCTTCCTACGTTCAGACCAGGCACCATATGTGGCCACACGAGCCACATGATGCACAATTCCAGGTGGTGCCTTTCACTTAGGTGATGATGGGGAACTGGACAACATGGCCGCCCTGGCCAGGACCCTGACTTGGGCAGCAGTCCAGTCTGGGGGCAGGACTAGGGCAATCTTCCAACCCATTTCTTCTAAGGGGAAGGGTTGGGGAAAATGTGTGGGGCTCACGGAGGATCCCCCAGGGGGCTGGGGATGAAGGCAGGGAGAGCTGAGCAGCTGCCAATGACTATTTGATGGTGGCTGTTTCAGACTTTGGAAATAGGATAAACTGCCCTCATCCTTCCTCCTTCTCTTTGCCAAATCTCTTTCCCTGCCCTCACTGTTTGGTCAGCATGGTACATTCTGGAAAGCTATTCACTGGCAGCTGAAGACAAGCAGTGGGGAGGTTGAGTGGAGAAAGAGGTACTCTCTGCTCCTTGGGTTGAGGTACCAAAAGATTGGAGGTCTTTGGACTGGAGAATATCTGGTCTCCCCAGGCTCACCCACTTCCTAATCTTTGTCTTCCCAGTTGGAAACACAACATCACCCAGAGGGAGGCCCGGGCCCTAGAGCTGACCCATCAATCCAACAGGAAGAAGGAGGAGGAGAGGGAGCAGCAGGGGTGAGTCAGCCCACAGGGGAAGGGGTGAGGGTGGGGCCTCCTGAGCTGCCCCTGCCTCATTGTTCCCTCTCCCGGACTCCAGAGCAGGGCAAGACCCAGAGATAAGCATCCCCTTCCATTCAGAGTTCAAAGAGGGGTCTTTATTGAACTCCTGGAGGTCAGCCTGAGATTAAGGGAGAAGCCTAGGAGGAATAGAGGGAGGATGGGGTCCTGGGAGGGGTTTTGGGGCCAGAGTTTCTAAGATTGGTGACTTCGTGTGCAGAGTCACTGAGTCAAGGAGAGGGGCAGTGAAGGAGACCGTGGGCACTGCCTTCCCTGCCAAACTTCAGGAAGGTTGTTTGTGGAACAGGGGGACCCTCCCGAGCCCTGATACCAGTTACTTTCTCTGAGAGGAATCTGTGGCAGAGATCACTCGAAAGAGTGAATGTTCCCAGTCACCTTTTGGGTTTACTGAAATTCATTCTCGGATACTTGTAGAGGTGAATGCGTGGGATGTCTCCCACCAGATTTTTGTTCCACTTTGCCTATATTGAAGAGCCCATATTTCCCTGGCTGACAGATCTGGGTGGGGCTTTGAAAGCTGAGATAACTGAGAGGCAGCTGTATTGACTCCCTCCCCCCAAGCCCAGTTCCCCCTTGGAATCCCAGGCCCTGTATTTACTCTCCTGGGTGGGCCCAGGCTAAAACAGCCTGCCTGAGGCTCTCCCCTTTGCAGCTCCCTGCCCAGAAACCCCTGCGATGAAGATTTGCTAAAGGATTTACTGATTCAAGAGCTGCTGGCCTGGCTCATGGACCAGATGGAGCTCTACAGGCGCAGGTAGGGGAGTCTGGTGGCTTTGAGTGTCTTGCATGGTGATTATAAGCTTGAGCTTTGGGGTCAGGCAGATGCTCAGATCTTCACCCCAACAAACACTGGCAAATTATTTAGACTCTCTGAACCTTGGTGTTTTCATGAAAATCGGAGCTATTTTAACCACTTCATGGCATTATTGTGGGGTTTAAATAAGATAATGTAAAGGAAAAAGCAGAGGGCAACGTCTGTGGAGTAATGAGAGTTCGTAATGTTGGCAGCTATTATTACTACTTACATTTCTTTCGAAACTTCCTCCAGGTGAGATGCTGCTCTCAATCCCCCTGCCCACCTGAGCTGAACTGTCCATCCTATTCTCAGCTTTCCCTCTGTACCCTCGTGCCATGGCACCTTCCTAGTGATGGTACCGCCATAGTTGGAGGCATGTTGTCCTTCTCTGCAGCCACTGCTGGTCTCAATGGTCCTTGAGTCTACCTCACCAGCTAAGAAGCCCTTCAATCTATTATGTCCCATAAGCAAGGGATGGCTAAATACCATGGAGAGGGCCATGCACCCGACGGGTGAGACAGGACACCCACTCAAGATGCAGACACCAGACACCGAGGCACAGAATCCAAAATGCACTAAGACCTTGATGCTGGGAAGCTAGGGAGAGAGTGAGGGAACAAATCTGTGACAGTTTCCTGTAAGAGGGTAAGAAAGGAGAGAGGAAGGTGACCAGAACAATGGGGAAGAGAGTATGAGAACATCTCCACAGGAAGGTGGGTAACATTCTCTGTGCTTATTTTGAATACTTATAATTAGAAAGGTAATTTGGAGGTAGGAGCAACTGAACTATGGCTGGTTGCCAAGATAAATTTACTTCGCTGACTCCAAGCTGAAAATGACCCGCCTCTCCACCACTTCCCCTCCTCTCTCCACAGATTTCAGTGACTCTCACCAAAGCCAGCTCAGGACTGGACTCTGCCCTTCACTTACTCAGCTCCTGCCTCAGCCCCATTCCAGGGTGCCCAAGAGAAGCCAAATCAATAAAGTTTAAGCTGAAATAAATCTTTATGCCTATTGTCGAAACTTATTCAAATGTCTACTGAGCACTAACAGTGTGTCTGTCTGTGTGTGCGTGCCACCCAATGAAAAGGAGATAGGGCGCTTATCCATCTGATAATTCATCTGTTTATTCTGCAAACACTTATTGGAAACTTAGCATAGCCAGCGACCATGCTGAACACTGGGGATACAGCAATGACGGAGACAGACACAGGACACGGTTCTCCCTCAATGTTTGCACCCTAGTGACGGAGGCAGACCTGAATCTTTAAACACACAAACATATTAATAGTCACATAACATGCTACATTATGTGAAGAAAGACTAGGGTGTTATGAGAGGACAGAGAAGCCTTATCCAGATGGAGTGGGGAGCCAGGAGGGCCTCTCAGGAAATGACATTTACATGGGCAGATAAAGGATGAGGGACCCTTAATAAATATTAGCCAGTGTTATTACTTATACAGCAAAATGGGCAGTAGAGAGAATAGCACAAGTCGAGGCTGGCAGGGGGCAGAGGCAGGGCCTTAAAGGCCATGTTAAAGCTTTTGGATTTTATCCTCAGTGCAAGGGCAAGTCCTTGAAGGATTCTAAGCAGGGGCAGGTCAGAGAAAATCTATTTGCATTCCAAAGCAATCACACCGATGACAGGGAGGATTATACTGAGATGAACAGGGATGAAAGTGGAAGAGGAAGACCAGCGAAGAGGCTCTTGCAGGATTGCAGGTTTCCACTGGGGTGATGGTAGTGCAGGTGGAGGCAAGTGGACAGTTTGTCCAAACGACAGTACCTCTATCTTCCGGTGTTCAAAGCTTCCCTACCTCGGTCTGCTGCCTTCTCCCAATGCCCCACATCCACAGAAAGCAAGGCTGTCTCTCCTTCTCCCCGTTGCCGTGGGTTATCTTTGCCTGGGATGACCTCCCCTCTCCCCTTGATCTAGCCATATTTTAGTAGAGTCAAACACACCTAGATTCAAATCGCTTACTAGGTCTGTGACTTGGCAAGTTAGTTCCTCTCTCTGAAGCTCAGTTTTCCATCTGTAAAAATAAGATTAAAAAGTACCCACCTCATAGGGTTGAGGTAAGTATTAAGATAAGGCCTGGTACAAAGTAAATGGTCAATAAAAGTTAACCTTTGTTATTATTATTCACACTACCTAAAGCTCAGTTTAAAAATACAAGGGTAGGGGCCAGCCCAGTGGCATAGTGGTTGAGTCTATGTGCTCCGCTTTGGCCACCCGCATTTGGCGGTTTGGATCCTGGGCGTGGACCTACACATTGCTCATCAAGCCAAGCTGTGCTGGCATCCCACATACAAAGTAAAGGAAGATTGGCAGGGTGTTAGCTCAGGGCCAATCTTCCTCACAAAAATAAAATAAAATAAAAGTACAAGGGTATTAGTTTAAAATCAGGGAGTGGCATCCTGGATTGGCTGAAGGGCTAGGCCAGTAAACATTAATGAGCAAAGTGGGGAGGGTGTAAGACAATGGGAAAGATAGGGACTGTGAAAATGGAAGAGACTGCTACCTAAAGGCATCCTGGTGACCAAACAAAAATTCTTTTGAGAACTGAATTTGCCTGAGGGCTACCAGTTTTCGATCTCTTCCAGCTCTGGCATTTTTGGTTTCCTCTCCTCTAAACTCCTGGAGGACTGAGAGTGTTTACCACACCATTTAGAGCATGCCTTTGCTCAGAAGATATATTTTAGTGATTCTCCATGATAGAACTGATTGTCTTGGGGACGAGTTTGGCTCTCTCTTTCTAGCGTCTTGGGTATCTCTGGGAATCAGTGAATCAGAAAAGCTTACTTTTTAAAAAATTTTGTACAATGTTCTTTTTTTTTTTTTTTGAGGAAGATTAGCCCTGAGCTAACTACTGCCAGTCCTCCTCTTTTTGCTGAGGAAGACTGGCCCTGAGCTCACATCCGTGCCCACCTTTACTTTATAGGTGGGATGCCTACCACAGCATGGCTTGTCAAGCGGTGCCATGTCCACACCTGGGATCCGAACCAGCGAACCCCGGGCTGCAGAGAAGTGAAACGCGTGAACTTAACTGCTGCGCCACTGGGGCTAGCCCCATACAAATTTTGTGCAATGTTCTTACTATGGACCAGGCATAAGCATCATTTTTTCCCAACTTTTGAAGTTTTTAATTATTTTTTTGGTTTTTGTTCTTCAAATTTATAAACACCATTTTTGAAAAATCGTGGTGATCTCATTTAAAGCCTCATCACAACCCTTTAAGATAATAACATAGTAACTGTTGACGCCGCACTACACTGCCTCCAGGAGGCAGAGAATTAAAAGCACATGCTCTCAGCCACCTTGCCACAAGGCCAGTGCGCCACTTAAAGCAAGTGAGGGCATCTGTGATGGGCAGGCATTCAACGGTGTACTGGAGCAGAGCGCTTCTGAGAGCCATCGTTAAATTGTCAGGAATTTTGTGAGCAGGTTGTAAAACCATTGATAGCTTGAAATTGGCCATGGTCAGAGTATTTACACCATGGAAAGTGGCAAATGCTGTAAATCAGAGCTCCTCCTTCCCAACCTGGAGAGGTGGTTGTTCAACATTTACCAGCACACCACACTTTCTCTAAAATGATAAAGGAGAACAAATGTGTCTGAATAAGGGAATAAGCAGGTCTGCTTGAGGGTAGAAATGAGGTTGGTCAAGGGCTAATGTGTGTACCTAAGAGTATGTTAGCGTGCAGTTGACGGGATGAATAGTTAAATCTGAGGTCATGAGTGTGAGTGAGGGATCAGTGTGTGTAACCTAAGTCATACAGTGTGAGTCAAAGAGTGAGAAACGAAGCAGGTGTGTCCAGATGGTATCAGTGAATGCCTAAGGTACCAAGGTTTTGTGTTAAGACTGGTGTAGTAAGAATGAGTGTGTGAGGGCCAGCCCGATGGCGCAGCAGTTAAGTGCGCACGTTCCACTTATCGGCAGCCCGGGGTTCGCCAGTTCAGATCCCAGGTGCAGACATGGCACTGCTGGGCAAGCCATGCTGTGGTAGGCGTCCCACGTGTAAAGTAGAGGAAGATGGGCATGGATGTTAGCTCAGGGCCAGTCTTCCTCAGCAAAAAGAGGAAGATTGGCAGTAGTTAGCTCAGGGCTAATCTTCCTCAAAAAAAAAAAAAAAAAAGAATCAGTGTGTATGTATAGGGCTAGAGTGTTTTTTATGGAAAGGGGTGGGTAGGTATATTGGAGGTGGTCAGTGTGTATGAGACGGTGTCTGAAAAGGCTAGTATGTGTTGGAGGGGACAAATCTGTGTCTGAGAAAGTATAAGTTTGTGTCTTATAGGAGCTTATGCTATCTGAGTTTAGTGTCTCAGGGTACATATGAAAGTGAATCTGAAGGTATGACTCTGAAAGGCTGAATGATTGTTTTAGCTTTGGTCCTTGCATCCTTTAAGATTATATTCCGCTTCAAATAACAGGAAAACACACAATAACAGTAGCTTTAGCATGATAGAACATTATCTCTCTTTCTCATAAACATCCAGAAGCAGGCAGCCCTGGGCTGGTGTGACAGCTCTGCTCCACAAAATTCTCAGGGACCCAGGCTCATTGGGCTCATGGTTCCCTCATCCCTCAAGGCCCAAAATGGCAACTAAATATTCTGCCACCAATCTCTGCTCCCATCCTTTTTTATCCTTTTACTTGAAACCTCTCTAGGGGGCCGGCCTGGTGGCGCAGCGGTTAAGTTCGCACGTTCCGCTTCTTGCCGGCCCGGGGTTCGCCGGTTCGAATCCTGGGTGCAGACACGGCACCGCTTGGCACGCCATGCTGTGGTAGGTGTCCCACATATAAAGCAGAGGAAGATGGGCACGGATGTTCCAGGCTTCCTCAGCAAAAAAGAGGAGGACTGGCAATAGCTAGCTCAGGGCTAATCTTCCTCAAAAAAAAAAAAAAAAAAAACCAACCAACAAACAGAAACCTCTCTGGTAATATTACTTTAGACCAGTACATCCAAATGACAATTGGCCGTTTCTCCTGTGATGCCTCACAGACTTCAAGTCCAATATATTCAGAAACTACTCATAAGTATTTCCCCAACTTCATCCTTGGTCTCCTCCCACCCCCAATGGCACCACCCTGTTGCCCAAGCCAGGAAACTGAGCATCCTGCTGACTTTTCCCACTCACTCTGCCCTGATCTTAGCAGTTTTCCCATTCCACCTTCTTAATATGTCCTGAATCTGTCCCATTCTCTCTATCCTTACTGCCACTGTCTTAGTTCCGGCCCGCATTTCTAGTTTGGACGGCTATAACCGACTTAATTAAGTCTAGGTTGCCACTAATTTTTTAAAACAAAAATTTGAGGGGCTGGCCCCGTGGCCGAGTGGTTAAGTTCGCGCGCTCCGCTGCAGGCGACCCAGTGTTTCGTCGGTTCGAATCCTGGGCGCCGACATGGCACTGCTCATCAAACCACGCTGAGGCAGCGTCCCACATGCCACAACTAGAAGGACCCACAATGAAGAATATACAACTATGTACTGGGGGGCTTTGGGGAGAAAAAGAAAAAAAAAAATTGACCTTATTCCTCGCTGACTTAAGAATCCTCCGTTAGCTCCTTGTTTGTTAGACTCAGTACGTTATCAAAATCACCTATGGAGCTTCTTAAACAAACAGATGACCGATTCCACCCCAAACCTGATGAATAACAATCACAGCTGATATTTATTTATGTGCCAGGCATTGTACTAAATGCTTTGTTATCTATTTTCTGACTTAATCTTCACAATGACTTCATGCGTTAGTATTACTCTTTCACAACTGTAGAAGGTGGGACACAAGAGATTAAGGAATTTGCCTGAAGTTACCAGACCATATGCAGTGGAAGTGAACTATGGAGCCAGGCAATCTAACTCCAGAGTCCAAGTTATTAACCGTAAGGCCTTTCCCAGTCAGAATTTCTGCGCGTGATTCCAAAAGGGAAGCTCCAACAGCGTGGAATGGATTCTGTTTTATGCTCAATACGGAATCCTTGGTGCTCAACTCAGGACCTGACACTTAGTAGGCAGCTAATGAGCACTGCTGGCCTCCAGACGATGGCGGTGGAGGGGCCGTCGAGGGAGGGAGGGAGGGTCCGAGGCGTCCACGACGGTGCGGAGCACGAGGCCGCACAAAGCCGACAGGTTCTCGGCATCCCGGCAGCCCGCCTTCCCCGCCACCAAGCTTCGCGGAGCTGGGCCACCCGCGGAAGGCGGGGCCGCCGGGCCCCTGGCGGAGGGAGACTTTCGGCTCCGCGGAAGGAAGTGGACGCATAGCTTCCGGCGCGCGGAGATGACGCGCGGCCCGCGCTTCCGTATTGGGGAGCCGGCGGCGGATCTCCGGACACGGGGAGCGGGGGTCCCGGCAGCGGGGCGGCCCGCGGGCCCTGGGCGGGGATGCACCGCCGCGGGGTGGGAGCCGGCGCCATCGCCAAGAAGAAGCTTGCCGAGGTGAGGGCAAGAAGGAAGACCCACGGCCGCCCCTGACCCGCCAGAGCGACGTCTCTTGGAGCAGAGCTCTGTAGCCTCTCATCGCCTCCCGACAGAATCTGACACGGGCTTCTCGCGTCCCTGGGAACTGAGTTTCTCTAGCTTCCGGTGGATTGGAATGTCAGCATCCCCAGATCCACCAGCCCTTTCCCCTACTTCCCCAAATTTAACTACAGACGAGTCGTCTATTCGACTTCCTCATCCCTCTCCCTAAGAAAAACCATTTAAGAGAGACCCTCCTCTTTTCATACTTCTGCTGAGGCAGTGCAAGTGGGAGCCTCCAGCGCCCACTCTCTCAACTCATGTCGGTCTCTTTGTCTGACAGGCCAAATATAAGGAGCGAGGGACTGTCTTGGCTGAGGACCAGCTGGCCCAGGTGAGTCGGTTGGAGGGCTCCAGGCAGGAAGGGAGACCTGACAAGGCTGGACAGGGCACCTTTGATATAAACTAGATTGTTTGGATTGAACTAAAAATAGAGTATTTTGGCAAACCTCGATTTCTGGGCTGCTGAGATCTTTTAGGGGGCTTGCTAATAACAATGGTAACAAACATGTTTGAGTGATTACTTGTTTATATCGTCCCAGGCACGTGCCCATTTTTTTTCTTTCTTCCTTCCTTCCTTCCTCCCTCCCTCCCTCAGCTAACATCTGCCGCCAATCCTCTTTTTGCTGAAGAAGACTGGATCCAAGCTAACACGTGTGCCCATCTTCTTTATATGTGCATATATACATGCATGCATGCCCTCTGCTTTATATGTGGGACACCTGCCACAGCATGGCTTGACAAGCAGTGTGTAGGTCCAAAGCGGGGCACCCTGGGCTACCAAAGCAGAATGTGTGAACTTAACTGCTGTGCCACTGGGCTGGCCCCCATTTTCATTACATATACTATCTCCTTTTTTTCTTTGCCCCAAAGCCCCGCAGTACACAGTTGTATATTCTAGTTCTTCTGTGGTCCTTCTGGTTCTGCTGTGTGGGACGCTGCCCCAGGATGCTTTGCGAGCAGTGCTAGGTCCCCGCCCAGGATCCGATCGGATGAAACCCTGGGCTGCCGAAGCAGAGCACGAACTCGACCCCTCGGCCACAGGCCGGCCCCTGCATACACTATCTTTTTCATTTCTCCTCCCAGTTCTGTCAGGAAGGAACTCTATTCTTCCCAGTTTAGAATTGAGGATACTGAAGTGTTGAGTAATTTATCCGAGGTTATATGCTTAGTAAGTGGTAGAGCTGTTTGATTTCGGTCTTCTGGGGTTTTTATTTTAAATGCCTAAGAATAACATGAAAATATTGCCTAACCTGTGGCACCCTCTGCCACCACCATCATATCTAGGTGCAGACCAGAAATGTGTGTGAGTGATGGGGTTGCGGCTCCTGCACGGGTTCCTTCTTAGCGCTTCCCTTTTCTGTCCGTGCCCTGAGTTTACTCAGTTACTGTGCCTCGTGAAGAAGAGGAGGCGGTGAAGCAGGGAAGTGGGCCCTTGAACTGAGGAGAGATAGTAGACCCAGGCTCTGCTCTTCAAAAGCTCCCACCCACAGGGGAGATGACATGCGGAAATCAATTAGAAATGGTGATTATAATAATTCATAAGTTTCTAATATGTAGCAAATGAGGAGATGCTGGCCCAGGAGTGGTTACTCTTGGGGTAGAAGATAGGCTTCGTTAGTTAGGGACAGAGAAGGGGTGATAGGATGTAGGAAAATCCCCACACCATTTGTGCTTAGTTTTGGAATGTAATCCGGTAGACCCACACCCCTCCCTCAGGGATTCCTTATCTGGAGTTGATGCCCAAGGAGGTCCATGAGTCAGAGATGAAAGAACACTGCACACCTAATTCATGCCAGGCTTCCTTTCTGTCAGTGGCTGAAGATTTCCCACTGGGTGAATCCTGCATTCCCTCATTTTTAAGACAAAATGGATTATTAGGTGCACCTTAAATTTAATAACAGTTTTTCTGGGAAAAAGAAAAGAAGTACCACATTAGACGTGCACATCGTTAGATGCTTCCTGACTTTAGAACAAGAAGATGTGAAAAAGTGTGTTTTAGAATTGAGGAAACATGACAGCATCTCATTTCTGCTGACACTACTGTGAAGGAGAGGCAAGGATAGCAAGAAAGGGAACAGTGAAGAGCATGATGTTAGGCCTGAAGGAGACGGGTTATTTCAGCCTTTGCCCTGCCACTGAGCAAGGGACCTATTTTTGGCATCTGATTATCACCTGGCTGGGCTGCCCCTAATCTCCCTCTTGTGCATCCTGCAGATGTCAAAGCAGTTGGACATGTTCAAAACCAACCTGGAGGAATTTGCCAGCAAGCACAAGCAGGAAATCCGGAAGAACCCTGAGTTCCGGGTGCAGTTCCAGGACATGTGTGCCACCATCGGGGTGGATCCTCTGGCCTGTAAGGAGTTGTCTCTAGGGGTCCAGTGTTCTCCTTGGGTTCCTAAGGGACAGAAGCTCACCTCGTTGTCATCACTACTGTTGGGGTATCCTCTAGAAGGGCCTACAGGGAGATCCAGGGGATGTGGTCTTTCGGGAGTACCTAGCAGGATGGCTGTGCAGTTTGATGGGAAAGATGGAGAGGCTGCACTGCAGGCTGAGGAGTCAGTGTACATGATCTTCCCTTGAACGATCTACTGTGGAATTTTGTTATGGTTATTTTTTCTCTTTATTAAAAAATACTGAGTTTTAATAAAAGTTGTATGTGATCATGTAGTCAATCAACAAAGGAGAAAAAACAAGAGAAAGTAGAAGTTCCTGACCCTGTTCCTTAATTGCAGAGATCAAGTACTGTTAACAGTTTAAAATATATCTTTCTAGATACCTTTGTCATATTTATAAACTTTTTTTTACTTATATGGGATTATGCTATAATTACTACTCTGTAACTTGGATTTGTCACTCAAGAAAATATTGTCTTCAGTGGGTTTTTTTTTTGAGATTTTATTTTTCGTTTTTCTCCCTAAAGCCCCCCAGTACATAGTTGTGTATTTTTAGTTGTGGGTCCTACTAGTTGTGGCGTGTAGGATGCCGCCTCAGCATGGTTTGATGAGCAGTGCCGTGTCCGCGCCCAGGATTTGAACTGACGAAACTCTGGGCCAGCGCAGCGGAGCGTGAGAACTTAACCACTCGGCCATGGGGCCAGCCCCTTCAGTGGATTTTTGAATGCCAGGTCTGCATAGTCTTTCTCTTAGCCTCGTGTAGACCATGTATCCCATTGCATTTCACTGTATGCTTTGAGAAAGGAAAACTCATTTTTTATAGAATCTTGGGCCAGAAGTAGCAGCCAAATAGAAATGCCTTTTAGACTGCTCACCCTTTAGAACTGTCTCACCCTCCCTCTTCCTGAGCTTCTCCCCAGGCGGCTGCGCAGGAGGGAGGCTGAGATGGCAGATGAGATCACTGAGGCTCAGGCCGCTTGGCCTGGTGGGGACACGATCTTCCGGAAGATCATTCACAAGGAAATCCCAGCCAAAATCATTTTTGAGGATGACCAGTGCCTTGCTTTCCGTGACATTTCCCCTCAAGTGCCAACACATTTTCTGGTGATACCCAAAAAACATATATCCCAGATTTCTGTAGCAGAAGATGATGATGAAAGTCTTCTTGGACATTTAATGATTGTTGGCAAGAAATGTGCTGCTGATCTGGGCCTGAAGAACGGTTACCGAATGGTGGTGAATGAAGGTTCAGATGGGGGCCAGTCTGTCTATCATGTTCATCTCCATGTGCTTGGAGGTTGGCAGATGAATTGGCCTCCTGGTTAAGCATGTTTTAGGGATAATTTTCGCTTATCTAGTCAGTGATCAAGTTTGCAAATTCCAGTATGTTAAATGGTACCCTTATTTTTGCCTGTGTATGGAGAGATTGAGAAATAATTTTAAAAAGCCATACACAATAAAAGATACTGTTGCATGGTTAAAAAAAAAAAAAAGAACTGTCTGAGCCCGTTCTTTAACGGGAACCACCGAGAGTCCGATCGTGTTGAGGAACGTGAGTAGTCAGTGGAGCAGAAGGGTCTAAGGCCAGGCAGGGAAGGCTTCCCATCAGATAGGTGTTTCATCTGGCTTTGAAAGAAAAGGTGGAACTAATGAATAACCCAGCTTTTGTTTTCCTGTCTTTTAGCGGGAAAGGGATTTTGGTCTGAGATGCTCGGCGTGGGAGACTTCTATTATGAGCTGGGCGTCCAGATTATTGAAGTGTGCCTGGCTCTGAAGCACCGGAATGGAGGTGAGAGAGGCTAGGTCCTGTGGCTTGGACTTTGGCCTTCTCTGAGAGGGAGAAAACGTTGAAAGGTGATCTTTCCCATCCTGCAGTCTGCAGACCAGTAAGGGCTCGAGAAGCTGTTTGGTCTTGAGAAGCATCTTAGCTGCTTCATGCAGTTGAATCCATGGCAGGTCTCTGTCACCAAGGGGAAATGGAATTTCCTGAATGATTATCTCTATTCTCCAAAGACCTAGCCCCTGGTCATTACAGAAAATAGTAGGGAGGTAGGATGTAGGCCTTTCTCCCTGACGCATGATGTCCCTGGGTTATGATTTGCTCATTAGTAACTGCAGGCCTGCGCTGCCTCTCCAAGGTGTGGAGACTCTGATGAGTTTCTGTGCTCCCAAAAATCTGACCTTAAACATGGTTATCCAGCGGAGTCATCTTAATAAGCACATGGAATGGTCTGTGTTGAAGTCGGGTAACAAAGAAAGAAAACTTAAAAGCAGTTGGAAATCACTGGCTGTGAATAGACACAGCCTTGATGTCAAGAGAGCATTTATGGTTTTTCAAAGCTGCTGCTGCTGCTGTTTTTGTTTGTTTTAGTCACAGAGGTAATCCTTCATCTGCCTTCTGTGCCCACTCTCCAATAGGTCTCATAACTCTGGAGGAGCTCCATCAGCAGGTGTTGAAAGGAAGGGGCAAATTTGCCCAGGACGTCAGCCAGTAAGTCTTGCCTTCTAGCCCCTTGGAGTATAGAAAGCTCTTTAAAAATCAGATGGAAATGTTTTCTCCCTATCGCTCGTATATCTAGGTTAGGAATCATTTTTATTCCTCTTTATGATCAGAAAAAAATGTTTTTATTTTAGAAAACTGAAAATACAGAGAGAGATTAAAAAACCAAAAACCACCCATTATTTCTCAGCTGGGAGATTGCAACTGTTAAACATTTTGGCATATTACCTTCTAAGCGTTTTTTTCATGTATACATATGTAGTTTTTTAACATACTTAGGGTTGTGTGCACTCTTGAGATGATTTGAGGTCAAGGAGACTAGAGCAGGCTCTGAGAAAGGCTAGGGAAGGCGTTAGGGGTCAGAAGATGGGGTATAAATTGACTCGGTTCACCAGCCTCTATGTGTGATTCCAATTTGAGAAAAGGTAAAAAAGCCTTGTCAGTATGTGGGCTGAAGATGTGGTCCACACGTTGTTTTGTGGGTTTTCTTTTTCCCTAATTTGAGTTAGTTGTCAATTAAGAAACTGGAAAACCTGGCCTTATTGGGGCTGTATTTCCAAATGGCAATAATCGCTGGGTTGCCCCCTTTAAAATGGGTAAGCATTCTCTATTTTGCCATAGTTCACACTACTCCCTATTGTCTCTTATGTTCAGCTCATTCAAGCACATTGCCTGATGGGCTCCTTTGGGCATATTTTGACCTGTGTCTGGTGTTGGAATGGGTTGCTGAGTGGAGAGCCTGGCTCCTATACCATCTCCCTTGAGTGTCCAAGCACCATTTGGTGCCCTTTAACCCTGCCTTTTTACTGACATAGTTAAATGTTGTGCAGCCTTTTAAGTTTTCTCTCAGGGTATCCTGCCCAGGGCAGAGCTGAAACTGCATTGTTGCTAGGTCTGGTCTGCCAAGGATCTTTAAGCAGCTCTTCCTCACCTCAGAGACGACCTGATCAGGGCCATCAAGAAACTAAAGGCACTTGGCACTGGCTTCGGTATCATCCCTGTGGGTGGCACTTACCTCATTCAGTCTGTTCCAGCAGAGCTCAATATGGATCACACTGTGGTGCTGCAGCTGGCGGAGGTACTGTACTGGTGTGCCGAGAGAGTGTGTGTGGGGGCACGTGTGTGCTCGTGGGTGCCTGCACATGCACGTAAGGGTGTCTGGGAGGGGATTCTGAAGCAGCTCTGATCTCCTCCCCATCCTTCAGGTCTTGCTGAAACTGTCTAATGGATGCATTATCCAGACCTGTGCTTATTTAGCAGACATTTATTGAGCAGCTGTGGTGCAGAGCCCTGGGCTAGGCTGTGGGGCATAGAACGATGAGAACCATATAGTTCCTGCTCTCAAGGAGCTTACAGTCTAGTGGAGTAGACAGACATGCAGACAACTAACTATATTTCCTTGGGTAGACAAATTCTTTGATGTCTTCTTAAAACTACTTTATGGATTCTTCAAAACAAATGTTTAATCTTGTTTGCCATGCCCGTTCCTCAGCGTGCCTTAAACATATACCTTCTTCCCCCAAATTCTTATCATGTATTTAGGGAAGACATACTCAGTTTTCTTAATTCTATAATGTAGAACAAAACTAAATAAGGGAGGGGCTCTTCTCGATCGGGGAATGGGTAGGGTGAGGCAGGGCAAAGGCCGAATATGTAAATATTTTAGATTATGAACAGTTTATGATTATCACCATTCCTTCCTACCAGTTAATCATTCTGAATCTTCTCTTGTCATACTCAAGTTCTGTGAGAAAGTCTGAATTAATATTTCAGTGCCAAGGACACTACTTTTTAAGACCGAACCCCTCAACCTCTCTCTGTCACCCTGAAAATCACTTGTTTCTCCTGGGACCTCTAAAACGTTCTTGTTCTGTGCTCACTTAGGCTTCACCCAAGGGGAGTTCTTCCTTCTGTCTGGTTAAATCACTTGTCCCTGGGTTCCAAGGGAAAGCACACTGTTAACTTACTCCCCATTCTTCCTTGCTTCAGAAAAACGGCTACGTGACTGTCAGTGATGTCAAAGCCAGTCTTAAGTGGGAGACGGAGCGAGCGCGGCAAGTGCTGGTATGTGACTTGCAGGATGGCCCAGAAAGACAGGCCCCAGATGGGAGTGGGTGAGTCGATAGGTACCACACAGGTAGGAGCTTAAGCCTCACTCTGCTGGCCTCTTGCCTTAAAGGCTGCTGCTGCCACACTAGAAGTGACCCGCAGCAGTTCTGTAAAGACGGCACTGAGAGGTAGAACTCACAAAGGCAGGCTTCAAACCCTGGCGTGTGTGTAGAATCAGGCTGCCGCTGCTACTGGGGAGTCACCAACACCTGCTCCCTCTTCCTGACCTCTAGAGCCAGGTCAGATGGTTAATATAGTTTGTACTGGAAGTAAGACTGTTAGTGCAGAGTGAAGGGAACTATTAACTACTTATGATAATTACACAGCTAAAATTATATGCTATTATATTGCATATTATATAGTTTTATATATACAAATTTCATGATACTAAGACTGATGTGAAGAGGGAGTAGCATGAAAATGTGGCAGCCCTGGCTTTCAATACCTTCCTTATCCAGGCAGTTAACTGTAGACTTAATTCCATCTGAAAGTGGGGATCACCAACATCTGCTTAATGATACTGGGCAGAACCAACCCATCTTGAGCCTATTTCCAGCTGTAAAAACTGAGTCCATTCTAATACTAATATGGCTCTTACATTTTCTTCTCCAGAAAGGTTTACCCACATCTGCCTGTTACCTAGTAAGTTAACTGATAGATAGTGATCTCCATTTTGCTTTAGGGAACAGGAGTCAGTGATTTGCTCAAGGCCATATAGCAAATATTTCTGTAGCCCTACATTCCTTCCACATCACTCTACTTGTCTTTACTCTCTTTCTCAGCAGCACAGGTTAAGTGACTTGGTGCCATTTTTTACACCTCAGGCAAAGGTCAAGGCCAAAGAGATCACTCCAGTTTGGTTTTGTAAATGTGTGAAGGCACTCGTGGATTTAGTCTGAAAACCCCAGTGAAGCCAAAATAGCTTTGGGGATTGTTTCTATCCCACCTGTGGAAACTCCCCTTTCTCAAACGACTCTTCCTCCCTTCCCCTCCAGGAACACCTGCTGAAAGAAGGGCTGGCCTGGCTGGACCTGCAGGCCCCAGGCGAGGCCCACTACTGGCTGCCCGCTCTCTTCACCGACCTCTACTCCCAGGAGATCACCGCTGAGGAGGCCAGAGAAGCCCTCCCCTGACTCTGGGAGCACGGGAGGGGGCACACGGCAGACAGGGAGAAGAGGGAGGAGCTGTTGGTGAATAAAACCTGGACAACTTTGTTTAAAAAAAAAGAAAGAAAAAATCTTCCAAGTTTTTTCTTCCCTCAATATTCTTTACCCATTATTTTATTTTTTAAAGTGCCTTCACATTGCATCTTTATTGGAGAAAACCTCATTTATCCAGTAAGGATAACCTGAGTAACAGATAATAGCGAGCACGTATAAAATGACTTGCACAGGCCATCTACAAGTTTCTGGTAGAGCTGGGGTTGAATGAAGGCCGTCTGTCTCCTGGCTAGACATTCTAGTCTCGTTGTAGCCCTGAGACATAAATTACAGCCTCTGTTAATTCAAACCTTTTCCTTATGAAATGTTCCTTATCTCAACAAGACCCTAACAGACCAGTAAGTAACATTCACTCTTTCAGTCTCTTCCAGCTTCCTCTGTAGAGGTTCCAGGTTATGGCAGACTCGGCTGAGTGTGAAGGAAACAGAGGTCAGTGTTAAATGCTGGTTAGAGAAGAAAACAGTGGAATTCGAGGGGAATCAACCAATAGTGGATGTGGTATTCTATTGCTCAAATTCCCTACTAGCTTTCCCTCCTATACTGATCACGTCCCTCTAGCCTTACTGGGAAAGAGAATCATTTACTGAACACCTACCCTATGCCCAGTTCTATATACGCCTCATTTAATCCTCATAGCAACCTTAAAAGTTAAGTACGTATCTTTAACTTTGCAGGTGAGGAATCGAATTAATTTACCAGGGGCCACCAACTCAAGCAGAGCCAAAGCTGGAGTGGAGGTCCACTAACCCCAGAGTCCATGTTTTTCTGTATCATGGCTTTGCATGGCACAAGCTGGCAGGATACTTGGTGTAATTTCTTCCAAAACACAGGGTTAGCCAAGAAAAACCTGTGCACTAAAACGCAGGAGCCTTCAACAGCAAGTAGGGAAGGCGGTGATGAGCTGGGAGCTCACTCTTCATAGTTTGAATGCTCAATTCTTAAGAAGGTCAGGTTTAGTATCAGAAAACTGAAAACCCAATGGCTTGGATTATCCACACTAACAATCCACCCCTTAGCAGGGGATATGTGGTCTAAGCCCATCTCTACCTTTGCCTGTCCTTGTGGGACATACTCACTTCCCAGTTTCTTAATAGGCATTTCTTTGGAAGCAACTGAGGCTAAGATGGCATTCCTCTCCTTGACTGCCAGAGCTACAGCCTCAAAAAATAATGGACCCTATTTCTGGTTGGTGGGAAACTCTTGTCACCATTAGTCCTGCTTCCACCTACATCATGTAACCCAAGTTTTCAGCTTCTACACAATTCACTGAACACTTTCTCCCTGACAGTTTTAGGCCCAGGTGAGAGGTGTGATTGTCGAGATGATCCCATTCTTCCTTTTCACAAACCCTCCCACACCCACAGGCGCTTCCTCCTTCTGCCAAAACAAACTTTATTGCACCAAAAAGAAAAAAAAAAAACTTCATTTATGTACAGTCAGATATAAAGACATATCTCTTTGACTCCTGTGCATATATTTCCTCAACTCAAGATTAGGGCGTAAAAGTCAGGCCGGTATGCCAGACATGCTCTGCCCATGGCAGGGCCAAGGAGAGGATTGTCACTTGAAAGTGGGAACACTTAAATGGATGACGGACAACACTGGACCAACAGACCAAGGGCATTCTTCTAAGCCCTGTACTAGCTCCGGGAATGGAAGAGGAAAATTGGAAGCAGGGTTCCTTTCTGGGTCTCCTTGTTTAGAGACCCAGCCTTCAGGTATTCAAGATAAACTTCCGCTTCCCAAGCCCACTTCCTGTCCAGTTTCTTTGCTTCCTGCCCTCCCAAGTAGGACATTCTCCTTTGTGCCCAACCCCCTCAAGGAAGTCCCACGATCCACAAGGCAGAGGCCTGCAAAGCAGCGGGCAGAGCAGGTACAAGTTATCCTCTCCCTGACGCGTGGCTGGATACTGACTGAGGCCCTGCGTCATGTGGATCGCCAATACCCCACTGGGAACCATAACAGTAAGAAATCTGGAAAGTACGGGAGAACACATCAGAAAGGGGAAGGATGGATTCCCTTGATGCCCAGTATCACAGGGCACCTAAAGCACATTTTTCTGAGCCAACCAGCCAAAGGATCACTGCAGCTAAATACAGAGAAGCGACACAGCCAGGCAAACACCCATCAGAGCCAGTGACAAAGAGCAGCTGGGAGGGAGGGGGAGGGGAGGGGGGAGGGGTCTCCAGAGTCCCAGCCCCAATCCCCTCTGCCATTGGCTACCCTTGCTCCCCACAAGTCCCTGGGCAATAAAGGGGGGGGGGGGCTACAGGCTGGGGTGAAAATACACGAGGAGAGCCAAAGAAAATACAATGGGAGTAGCATCAGTCTTCCCCCGCACCCCACCCCCAGGAGAAATACCCTCATTGTGACTAGTATTTATGAAAATCTGTAAGAGACTATTCTATGTAGTGGCTCTAATCCCATACACACAGCAGCTGCCTGTGTTGGGAACTTTGCAAATCAGTGATTGTGGGAACAAACGGCATTTTCAGTTTCTTACGGTGCCTGTGCAGGCTTTACCAAGACCTCAGTTCAGTCCCAGTCACATTTACCTTCTGTCTTAAATCTAGGAAGGGGTGAGGAAAACGGGGGGCAGGGGAGAAAGGTGCTCAGGTGCTAGGTAAAGCTTACTGATCAGCAGCCTAGACTCCACCACTGTTCCTTCTCTTTGGTCTGTCTAGAACAGTGACTATAAATTAGGAAAAACAAAATTATGCTGGCCTGTGGGAAATAATGGAGGAAGAGAGGCAGGGAGGAAAAGGGCATTGGGAAGCCCTGCTTCAAGACTGCAGACAGACAGACAGACGACCACCCAGACTGCTTAAGTGTCACAGACGGCCCCCCACCCCAAGCTCCCTTCCAGGTATTCCCATAAATCATTTGGGCACACTCCCTCTTGGAATTGCAGTTTCTGCCTCCCACCTATCCCTAAGGGGCTGGCCACGTGGAGAGGTGTGTTCGTTGTTTTGTTTTTGCCAGAGACCCTCGCCCTAGGTGCTCCTGCACAGGTACCTTGGCCCCTGATATGGGATGAACATAGCCCCAAATGTTCGAGAGCCAAGGAGGTCAGATCCGGAACAGCCTCCCCACTCCCACACTCTGGGATCCACGCTTGCTTGGTTCTTGCCATCTTGCAGGATGACGTCACGTCTGGAGGGAGATACACAGTGCCTCTCCATCCCTGGGGTGGGGGGAAGGGACTTTGCTGGGACTCTTGAGTGGGGGGAGGGGAGAAGGGAGCAGGGTCTAAACCCTCAGGCTCCCATGCAGGTCTGTCTCTGTCCCAGAAGAGCTGCTATCAGAGTCCATTTCGGCATTCTCATTATGGAGCCTCTCCAGCACTTTCTGACGAATCAGTCCCAGGCGCATCAAGAGGGACTGGTAGTCAAAGTGGCCCCGCTTCTCTCCAAAAGGATCCTGTGGGGGAAAGGAGACAAGCGGGATGGAAGATTCAAGTCTGGGTGGCTCACCCTAGAGACAGCGGCTTTGGACCCATGTGAAACACGTGCTCAACTTCTGAGTCACAGGAATAGAGGAGGGCACAGCACAGATAGCTCCAAACAGGAGACAACATAATCTTTGTTTAGGAATATCATGGCATGTTTACCACCCCAGAGAAGTCCGACTTGGGCTGACATTAAAATGTGTTTGCATTCCTCAAAAGCAAGCCAATATGCAGAAGGGGCCACAGTAAAAGCAAGATAGATAGGGAAAAGAAATTAAAAAGCAGGAATGTAATCATTACGTGTGCCTATGTTTTCAATTAACCTCATAAAAACCATACAAGGGAAAAATTATTCTTTATTTCCTATACTCAAAAAGTGTAATTTGCTTTTCTAAGGTCGTAGGTAGGTCTAGAACTCAGGAGTTCTGACTTCCAGATAAGCACCCCAGGGACCGTCACCACATTCTTGTCCAGGTTTCTGGGCATCACTCCAGGGCCACCTAACCTCAATCCTAGTCCTTGTCATTAGATCAAACATCTCCAAACATTGTGTAGAAAGGGGCTGTCAAAGTCTCAAAAATAACTAAGGATGGGGTGGAGGATATAAAAAAAGGAATTTAAAATGCTATATAGGGACTGCGGCAGCAAAGTAGCATTGCCAGTGTTCAGACAAGTGGAGACCTCTTTCCTTGGCAGTCACAAAAAGGTACATGATTTTTCCTCTCACATTCTGTCTGCTTCTCCCACATAAACTCCTTCCACTACAGCCTTCATTTTTCACTTCCGAAGGTTACACTCCCCAAAGGCTGAACTCCACACTTACTCTGGAGCTGTCAATCTTCCAAATCTTCCTCCTTTCATCATTGGCTCCATTTCCACCCACTCTCCTTCTCCCCAGATGCTGCTCCTCCCTTTCCTTGCCTCATCAAAGTTATTTTTCCTTCACAGACTGAATATTGAAAATGCTGCTGGATACCAGCAATGAGAAGTCCTGATGGGGAACACACTACAGTGTGCATCCTCTTCAACATACTCTCAGAAAAGGGGCAGGAAACAAGTTAACCCTGAGCCGGCCTTGCCCTTTGAGTTTCAATGTGGCAGGTGGGTGGGAAGGCCTTGAAGGAAGGATAGGGAAACTACCATTTCTAAGCAGCACCAGAGGAAACAAGACATTTACTCCTACTGCTGATGTTGTTGGGTGGGTGGAGGAAATAGCCCAAGAGGAGCTAGAGAAAACCTTAACAGGTCTTAGTCACTTATCCAAGTCTCCACGTTTCTAAGCAAGACCACCTATAAATGATCCAAAAGACACAAGGACCGGTCCTTCAGGACAGGAAGGTTTCTCACCTTCTTACTAACCAGCTCATTTATATGTGACCTGATTTACAATTTGGTTTAATAAGAACCTCTTCTTTAAAACAAGCCTAAATTCTGCATTTCTATTGGAAGTGGAAGCATATTTCCCCAGTAGAAGCACAGAATGAACAACTGGTTACCATCCTTGTAATAGAAATCTTTCAACATGTAGCACTGCATACCCAAGGTTTCCCTAAGCCCTCTTCCTTTTAGCGCCCCTCTGTGCTAGGGATGAAAT